TAAATATATATACAGGTTTCACTGGTTTTGCTTCTCTAGAAAACCTGGCCTAAGACAACAGGATTTGAGGATTTGTTCAAAGCGTGGATATAAGGCATGAAAGGAAGCGAATAGGCATGAATCTAAGAATTTGGGTCTAAGCCACTAGAAATACCGAGTTACCATTGATTGAGATGGAGAAGACTGGAGACAGAGCAGGTTTTTGGGGTGGTACTCCACGGAGAGACAGGAGTTCCATTTGGGCTAAATTAAAGAACATTAAAAGTTGAGATGACTGACATCCAAGTGTAGATGCTGAGTAAGTAGCTGGACTTTTGAGTTTGAAGATCATGGCAGAAGGTGGGGGAGAAGCTCTAAAGACATTGGTTTGAGGACCCTCAGTGTATGGCTGGTATATGCAACCATATTACCTAGAGAAACATAGAAAGAAAAGACATCTCACACCGGAGCTTTGGAACACTCCAATGTTTTGAAATTCCTGAACCCCAACAAAACCCACTGCAATCAAGTCGATGCTGACTCACAGCGACCCTGTAAGGCAGAGTGGGACTGCTCCGTTGGGTTTCTGTAGCTCTTTATGGGAGCAGACAGCCTCGTCCTTCTCCCGTGGAATGGCTGATGGCTTTGAACTGCCAAACGTTCAGTTAGCAACCAAGCGCTTACCCACTGTACTAACGATGCTCCTTACATAGAAGTTACAAGACAAGAAGTGGAGAAAGGATACCCAGTGATGTTAGAGAGGGAATAAGAGGGTAGTGTCTCAAGAGGAGAAAGGTGTTTCTGCCAACAAGAAGGTAAGCAAAATTGGGTCGAATACTATAAATATTCACATGAGAGGAGAACTGTGGGTTGGCCCCTGGACTTTTGGGAACTGTAACACATAAAGCCTGATATGACAGGTTCCAGAAGGAACAAAAGAAAGGACTTGGGGATGATGAGTATTTTTAAGATCAGTGTTTTTTAAGAATTTGACCTAAAGGGGGACAGAACAAGAAGGCAGGATAAGAAAAAGTCACGCCATCAAGAGAGACTTTATGGGTTTGTTTCTTAACGAGGGAGGTGCCAGCGGAAGAAGAGAAGCTAAAGCAAACTTCCACTGTCGGTTTTCAGCTGCTCCTCACCTCCCTGCCCGCTGAATGTCGAGGTCCCCTTGTTTGTTCTGTCTACTCTCTTCCCTGGGTTGGTCTGTTCATTCCTATGACTTTCGAAGGTAGGGCTCCATCCAGCCTGCTTCCCTCTTCCGAGTTCTAGCTCTGAAGACGCTGCAGAGGCCCTACTCAACACCTCAACTCAGATGTCTTCCACAAATCCAAACTCTACCTACACTCACTCCCAAACCTGTTCTTCTTCCAGAACTGCATGTCAGAAAATGGGACACCCTCCCCCAGCTGCATCAGCCAGAACCCAACTCCTCCTCCTTTTCACCCATCATAGAATCCCCACATCCTCAGTGTCAGCTTCCTCAATGTCTCCATCTTTCACACCCACGCTCTGCTCCCAGGCTAGGCTAGTCCTGCGCAGTCCATCTCCACATATAGGCTTGTACATCCGCCATTTCTCTACAAGGCAACAAAAACAAATCAGATGATGTTGCTTTACTGCTTAAAAAACCCTTAAAGGTTTCTCAAAGTCCAAAGGAACTTTCAAGACCCAGCGGTCTGCTGTGGGTTCCATCCCTACCCCTTCCATTTGTTAAAAGCAATCTTAAATAATCTAATGCTTGACAGTTAACTAAATAGTACTCAGCTTGTCTGTTTGGTTGCTGAAACACTTACAGGACATGAAAAGACAAGAATTTGAACTCTGAAGATAGGGGTTCAAATTCAGGCTCAGCCTCTCACCAATGAGATGACTGCTTGAGCATTTTCTCCATGCACTGGTGTGTTTTTTTAAGGAGCCCTGGTGGCACGGTGGGTTAAGCGTTGAGCAGCTAACCAAAAAGATGGCGGTTCTGCTGCTGTAAAGATTTCGAGTCTTGGAAACCCTACTCTGTCTGCCCTTCACGGTATCTATGAGTTGGAACTGACTGACCAGCAGTGGGTTTGGGTTCATGTTCTTATGAGAATTAAAGACCTCAGGCACGTGAAAGCGAATAGAAAAGTGCCAAAGATGACAGGCTAGATTATCCGTTTGTTAAAGCATTCCAGTTCTGAGGCTGGAATTATTTCTCTTACCAGGATTTCATCAATGGCTACGTTTGATCAGGACTAATGTTCAAATCATCTCTCACAGCAGGAGGCTTGCTCTAGTCCTGGGCTGTGTAAGAGCTGGGATCGTCATCTTAATAGAAGTGAACGGAAACATACTTTTACCTTTCCTTCTTTTTAGACCGCTTGGCTGGGTGAAGTCCCAGCATTATCAGTGTATGGCGATGGGTCAAATATAATTCCAGCAATTCACGTGCTTGATTTAGCAGGGTAAGTCCTCTCCCAGAGATCCGACTGCTTGCCTAGAATTGATTGATTGGTGTGTTTGTTTACCGGCTCGTGTTTGTAGAGCACGCACCAGGCCACTGTGCCAAGACCCTAACATGGATGTCCTTATTCCTCACAAAGGTCACTATGGTCAGTTCCACTTTACATCTCATGAAACAGGAGCCGGCATTTAAAGCTCTAAGCATCTGGTGCAACTCTTAGAAACTATTAGTTGAGTAGCTTACCCTGTGATTTTGGAACAGAAAAGAACTTGATGTGTACTTTGTGAGGACAGACTTTCCTTGGTCCAGCCCACCAACATACATTCAAGGCGTCAGATGGTGGACACTAACCCGGAAGCTATTTCTGGACAGCTGTAGGTAGAGTGGCCACATGCTTCTCACACTGAGAGAACATCCCAACCCTATGTTCCAGACAGGGCCTGAGACCCTTCTCTTCCTTCGAAGAACCTGACTTGACCACCAGGTCATTGACACGGCTCACTTTTGCTGGGGGTCCTCGTTTGTAAAATGAGGACAATAGTGTCATTAGTTACCATGGAGTTGGATCAGACTCGTAGCAACCCCATATAGAACAGAACCAAACGGTGCCTGGTGCTGATCAACTTCCCAATGCGTGGTCTGCCGAGCCCATAGCTGCAGCCAACATGTATTCTGGGTGCCTTCCAACCTAGGGGCTCCCCTTGCAGAGCTGCAGGAAGCAGTATTCTATAGTGAGTCACAGGGTTTCCGTGGGCTGAAGTTTCACCACCAGACTTTTCTCCCTAGTCTACCTTAGTCTGCAAGCTCTGCTGAAACCCATCTACCATAGGTGACCCTGCTGATATTTTAAATAAATGCCACCGTCCCAGCAACACGCAAGTCACCGCAGACGAGGGGTGGGGACATGGTAATAATAGTACCCGTGTAATTAGGTTGTTACAAGATTAAATGAGATCACACCTGTAAAACCCTTAGCGCAGTCTGGGGGTGGAGTTAAATACACAGGTATGCTGATGTCAGACCCAGTCCATCTCAAGCATTCTGACTCCCATAAGAGAGCCACAGCACCTCCGAATCTGTTTAGTACATAGTAGAACCGCTACGTCCCAAAGCACTTCTGTGGTGGGCACTGTTCTTGGGAGGCAGTGCAGTGCACCAGAGAGGGACAGAACGCAGTGCCAGATGGCCCACGTTCTCCATAGCGACAGAGCCTGAGAAATGCCCTGTTACCTCTTTGTACCACAGCTTTCTCACCTGTCAAATGCGGATAGTCATGGCCTAGGCCCTGTGGGTGGTGCCCCGTGAGCCCCGGTCTCTTCATCTCTTTCCCTTTTCCCTCCTCCATGCTGGAATGCAGAGTGATACAGAACGTAATTGACCACGTGCCGAAGGTCCACTACCTGGTGGCTGTGGACGAGTCTGTCCACACCCTGGAAGACATCGTCAAGGTACATTGCTCTGCCCCTTGCTCGTGGAGTTGGGTGGGCGGGTCAGACCAGGACTCCTGAAACAGAATGCCTTTCACACCCACTTCAGCCATGTGCGTGTGCTGCAAAGACACTGGGCAGTTCTCCCCAAACTAAAGTGACCTTTCTGCCGTTTGTGCATGCTGTTGTTGTTGTTGTTAGGTGCCGTGGAGTCATTTCTGACTCACGGTGACTTCACATACAGGTAGACCCGGGAGATGCTGCAGGTTCGGTTCCACAGCACCACCATCAAGTGATTAGCATGCAGCAGACCAGTGGTACAGTGTAAGAAAGACAGACCTGCAACAGAGCCCTAGAGTGAGCACGTGGTGTCGGGGAAGCGCTGCCAAGGACTTGCTCTGCCAAGAGTTGCTACAAACCTTCCCTGTAAAAACAGTGATTGCTGAGAAGCAACAAAATGAAGCGCCATAAAACGGGGCACTCCTACACTCCAGAACCAAGCGTCCCCTGGTCCTGTGCCATCATCTGGATTTTTGCTCTGTTTGAGCCCACTGTGGGAGCCACCGTGTCCGTTGGACGTGGTGGGATACATAAGAGGTCAAGCTAGGACTCTGGGTCAGAAGGCCAGCATCATCCCACCTCAGACAGAAACACACCAGCATATATCTGTACTGAAACAGTCAGGGACACCAAGAGCTACCCCCAGGAACTGCAAAGCTGTGAGGGCTGCCTGTCCTGCCTGGGCTGCTCTGGGCAAGTCATCACCTTGCAGCCGGTCCAGCCTTCCCCGCTGACCAGTCCCCTCATCTTTAAGATCCAGTTCAGATCTCTTCCTCTGTGCTCTCCCGGTTTCTCTCCCACCACCACCAGGGCCAGACAGCTCCCCTCAGACTCCCAGAATCCCCCTTGCTGAGCTGCTGAGTTTGGACCCTGAGAGTAGGGCCTTACCATCTCTGTGTCTGCCACCTAGCCCACAGTGGCGAGTCTTAGATATCCGTGGAGTGGAGTAAACGAAAGGAAACAAAACGAAAAAGCAACTCACAAGAAACCCTGAACACTAGACAAGCTTTAACTAGTAAAATAAAGGTCTGCTGCTTTGTGCATTGAACTCTTCTAAGAACCATCGATAATGGGAGAGCAGTGACTTGAACGTTTGGGTAAAGACCTCAGAGGGCAGTGAGTTTATGCCCGTGAGGGAGGAACAACGTGGAAAAGGAGACCGAGAAGTTCTCAATGACAACTTGAATGTCATTGATGTCACTGAATTGTACAGGTACCACAGAATTAATAAAATTTAGGAAAAAAGAAAAACACAAACATAGAAAGAAAAAAGCGACTTGTTTAATAAATAGTTAATAAAATAAATGAATGAAGACCCACAGCATCCTACCCTCTATTTTGCACATGCTGTAATTATTTTTTTGGAGTCCTGGTGTGGCACTGTGGGTTAATGCATCAGACTGCAAAGCCGTTTGAACTGCAAGGTCGGCGGTTCAAGCTCACCAGCTGCTCCTTGGAAACCCTAGACAGGGTTGCTATGGGTCGGAATCGCCTCGACGGCACTCAACAACAACATAATTATTTTTTAATTCAGCTAGGTTTACATTCATCTTAGAAGTTGTGTGTGTGTTCTTGCAGGTAAATCAAATAATAGTCCTATTTTTCTCTAACAGTGCATCAGTAAAAATACTGGCCCTGGGAAAATCCAGAAGTTACCCAAAGAAAATGCTTTTCTGACCAAGGACTTAACAGTGAGTATATAAGAGAGTCTGTGTTTTCCTGCTTTTCTAAGTATACTGGTACTTGTAGAGTTTGGAGTCAGGACGTTGTTGTTGTTGTTGTGTGCCAGCAAGTCAGTTACAACTCACAGAGACCCTAGAGGACGAGCGGAACTGTTCACTGCTGGGTTTGAACCGCCGACCCCTGTGCTAGCAGGTGAGTGTTTAACCATCAGACCAGTAGGGCTGCTTGTTACCATGGAGTGGATTCTGACTCATAATGACCCCACAGGACACAGTAGGACTCTCCCATGTGTCTGGAAGCAGATCGTCTGACCTTTCTCCTGAGGAGTAGCTGGTGGATTCGAACCTCTGACCCTTTATCACTGCATTACCAGTGCTCACTGAAGTCAGAATGTTGTTTTTGTTGTTAAGTGCTGTCGAGTCGGTTTTGACCCATAGTGACCCTGTATAGGGTTTCCAAGGAGCTGCTGGTGAGCTTCAATCTCCAACTTTGCAGTTCAAACCGAGTTTGCAGTCCAGCACATTAACCTGCAACAGCACCCCAGGATACCTGCCTTTGAACCCAGGTTGGCTCCTACTGTCTGTGGACAGTGAACCTATGCTTCATTTCCTCAGGCGACTTGCTCTTCTCTTCCCTGAGCCTCCGTTTCCTTTTCTCGAAGATCCCTCAGATGCTGTGATGAGGACATGTAATTTGAAAGCTGGTCTGTAGAGGGGAAGTTATACAAACAGTGGGCATTGCTCTCTTTGGCATCTTTATGTATGCACTGGGCTCTGTAATCTTGTTTCAGGATATGACTACTGTGCGAATCAGTTAATATGAGGACATTTCTGAAAAGATGGACACTCCACGTCACCTCCGAAGAGTAGAGCTAGGTGGTGATGGTCGGGTCAAAGGGAGTTTTGGGCTCTATTCTCTTTGCTCTTTTGGATTTCAAACCATGGAACTACATGCCTATTAAAAAAAAAAAAAAAAAGATGGAATTTTTAAAAAGAAAAGAACATTTTTATTTGGATTTCCGGGGTCTTCCTGCTTTTTTGAGCTACTTTTCTGACCTCAAGAGCCACAGAGGTCTCATGTGTTGAGTGCAGATGTAAGAAGGGTTTAGAAGGGCTTGCCCAGCATAGGGGGCACTCTGCAAACACAGGACTTAATGCTGACTTGTAGTTGCAGAATTTCCATCGTTTTCTTGAATGACTGTAGTGATCGTGGTCCATCACAGATGTCAAAAGAGAAGCCAAGAAAACCTCACTCATTTTCCTTTCTTTTTCAGCAAGAGTGTCTGGACCACTTACTGGTGAATTTGAGGATGGAAGCGGTCTTTGTGAAAGAGAATTTTAACATCCGATGGGCGGCCCAAACAGGGTTTGTGGAAAATATCAACAACATCCTCAAAGAGTACAAGCAAAGCAGAGGGTTACTGGTAACTGTGATCATTTCCTGTTTGCATTTGTAGCTGAAACAAAAGTAAATTCATCTTTTAGTGCACTTATACCAGCTAACGTTAGCACTTTCTTTTCTTGTTAAACTGTTTATTGGGTGAGTTGGGTGAAGGCTTACAGAGCACCTCAGTTTTCCATTCAGTGATTCACCCACACTTTGTTCATGTCATTAGTTGTCATTCCCTCAATATAACATCATTTATCCCACTTCCTCCCTGGGTTTCCGTAGAACTTTCTTTTTCAGATCTCCAGAACTTAAGTCCTTTTCCAAATGTGACAAATGTGTCCAGTTTTAACAATTTTGTTGTTGGTATTTAGTGGCACTGAGTCAGTGCTGACTCAAAGCGACATTGGATAGGGTTTCCAAGGGACAGCTGGTGGGTTTGAACTGCCAACCTTGTGGTTACCAGTCCATTGCTGATCCCATAGTGCCACACACCAGCACTTCATTATAATAATGTTGATCAACTGGATTTTTTTTTTTAAGTATTAAGTTCTTTAACATTTATAATAACTGTTGAGCTTGACACACCTTGAACATGACCATGGGTCAGGGCTGACTGTCACAGAATCATCTGTCTTAGAGAAATACAGTGGGTCTTATGGCCTGTCTATGGTCAGTCCTGAGGAGCTCTGGTAGCGTAGTGCTTACAGTTGGGCTGCTAACCTCAAGGTCAGCAGTTCGAACCAACCAGCTGTTCTGTGGGAGAAAGATGAGGCTTTCTGCTCCTGTAAAGATTTTCAGCCTCAGAAACCTTGTGCAGGGTCGCTATGAGTCAGAACCGACTCCACGGCACCCCACCACCACCACCACCACTGTCAGTCCTAGTGTACATACGGGGAGAGCCCCTGGGGGGCGGGGGCGGCAGTCTGATTATTACTCTGATCTTTTACTATCAGTAAGGAGATCTGCAGATCATTTTTTGGTAGTCTTTTTTTTTCTTCTTCTTTTTAAAAGATTTTATTGTGAATTGAGTGATCGTTTACATGGGAGAACATCAGTTTTGCACTCATCCAATCATATTTCGTTTCATTGCAATGATTACAACCCCCTCCGTGCATCATCATTTAACAGTATTTGCTTCTATTCCCTCTGGTTTTGATGTTTTTTGTTGTTTTTGTTTGATGTACACAAAACCACTCAGGAATAGGTAATCATTTAAACAACCAAAGGGCACATTCTGCAAGCCAGCCTCCTGGCCTCCAGCTCTCAGTCCCTCTCTTTCCCAAATCTACAGTCCTCAGCTGCTCCCTCTCTCCCTGTCCTCATCTCTATCTCCATCTCTGGTGTCGCTGCTTCTCTGGATAGGGTCCCACATTCCACTCGTGCTCTTCTCCCTTGATGGTCATAGAGTCCTCTGTTCCTGGACTGTAAGATTAACTACTTCCCCCTTTTTGTTATAAAACTTCTACCTTTACAGTTGTGACCATCACAAATAGTCACGATAAAGGGTTGGTATTCTTAACTCCACATTACACATGAGGAAATGGGTTCAGAGAGATGAAGCAACTTCTTCAAGATCATAAAGACAGTCAGGGATGCAGGCTAGCCAGCTAGGACATTTCTCCACCTGCAGTGCCCACACCTGCCACCACACAGCTCCCTCCTTGGAGCCAGGTAAAGGTGGTGTTTACGCAGACCTTCAGATTTACCCCAGGGATGAAAGTGGGTAGTGGTCTAAGAGAATGTGTTTTGAGAACCGTCAGGTTGCATCATATGTTGATTCTGTTGTGCATAGGAACACTGCACAGGCAGTGTGCCCTAAGAAACCTGCTCTCCTGAAAAGCATGCCTGCTGAAGAAGAGAAAGATGCATTGCTTAGCAAAAGAAATACAGATCCTTTCAAGCATCTCAGGTACCCTTGGCAACTGTTACCTGGAGACTGCCCTGAGGCACCCACCAACAGCTGCCATCAAGTTGGTCCTGCCTCGGGATGACTAGGTCACAGTAGGCCTGCCCCACAGGCTTTCCAAGGCTGGAAATCTTTCTGCAACAGATTCACTTCTTCCTCCTGATGAGCCTCTGCTGGTTTGGGGCTGATCTTTTGGTTAGAAGTCAATCGCTTAACCTCTGCACCACCGGGTCTCCTTAATAACTAGATCATGAGTTCTTCTACCTCCTTCTCTTTAGAAGGGCAGTGTAGTAAGGATGGGGCTGGAAGTGTGTCACGGCCAGGCACTCTGTCTGCTGGTGCTCTGAGGTGTTTCTACAGCTTTTGATTGGCTGTCCGCTACCTGGTAGATGCTTCTTCATTATCTTCCCAGTGGATGGACGTGAGTCATCTCTCTCTGGACAGGATATGGGAGCAACCAGGAGGACATGGTGGAAGTAGGGTCTCTGGAGTCGCTGTCCCATGAGGAAGGAGCCTCAGCCTTTAGGATCTTGTATTGATTGTTGTTAGATGCCATGGAGTTGGTTCGGACTCAGAGAGGCTCTGTGTTCGACAGAACGGAACACTGCCCGGTCCTGGGCCAGCCTCACAATCTTGACACTTGGGTCCATTGCTGCTGCTGCTGCTACATCAGTCCATCTCCTTGGGGGTCTTCCTGCTTTTTGCTGACCCTCTGCCTTACCAAGCATGATGTCCTTCTCCAGGGATTGGTGCCTCCTGATAACATGTCTAAAATATGAGAGCCAGAGTCTCACCATCCTGGCTTCTCAGGAACATCAGGCTGGACTTCTTCCAACACAGATTTGTTTGTTCTTCTGGCAGTCCATGCTACTTTCAGTATTCTTCTCTAACACCATAGCTCAAATGTATTAACTCTTCTACAATCTTCCATATTCATTGTCCAACTTTTACATGAATATGAAGTTACTGAAAATACCATGGCTTGGGTCAGGTTCTCCTTAGTCCACAAACGGATCTCTTTGCTCTTTAAACAGGGTTTTGTGCAGCAGATCTAGAGACTTTAAAAAAAAAAGTCTCGTTGCATATTGGTTGGTTGGTTATGTGCTGTGGAGTTGGTTCTGACTTATAGCGACCCTGCACAGAGTTTCCAAGGCTATAAATCTTTACAGGAGCAGAAAGCCTCATCTTTCTCCCACGGAACAGCTGGTAGTTTCGAACTGATGACCTTGCGGTCACAGCCCAATTCATAACCACAACATTACCAGAGCTCCTTGCATATGTGTTGTTGTTGTTAAGTGCTGTCAAGTCAGTTCCGACCCATAGCAACCCTGTATAGGGTTTCCAAGGAGCAGCTGGTGAGCTTGAACTACCGACCTTGTAGTACAAATGGCTTTGTAGTCTGGTGCATTAACCCACAGCGCCAAACCAGGACTCCATTCCTTGCATATGGTGGTTATGTGCTGTGGAGTCGGTTCCTACTCATAGCGACCCTGCACAGGGTTTCTGAGGCTGTAAATCTTTACCGGAGCAGAAAGCCTCATCTTTCTCCTGCGGAACAGCTGGTAGTTTCGAACAGCTGACCTTGCGGTTCGCAGCCCGATTCGTGACCACTATAGTACCAATATAGATAATACCAATTTAACTTAGCTTCAATGGCTTGATGACCAGAGTGTGACTAGAAGAAGATAAAGGAACCAAGGTTAAATTGCTACAATTTGATGAACTTGACCTATACTTATGGATGTAGTAGCTCAAAATACCAACCGAGAGGGAAGGAGTCTTCACACCAAGAGTCAAGCCTATCCCCTCGGTATAGAGGGTTGATAGGGGTGGGCAACTTAGACACTGGCTTCCTAAAATGAGGGGATTATGGGTGATAAAGGCACAAAGTGACTGGTTTACAAGGTTTCAAGAGGGAGTTTAGTTTAAGAGTGTGTGGGAGACGATAAAGTCCCCACTGAATAGTTTTCATCTTGTCTAGACGGGTCTGGTGAAAGGAGATGGGGATAAGATTCTTAACGATGCAATAGTGAGAAATTGTTATCATGACTAATTGCCATTGTCACAACTGTAAAGGCAGAAGTTTTATGACATAAAGGGGGAGTAGTTAATCTTACAGTCCAGGAACAGAGGACCCAAGGACCATTAAGGGAGAAGAGCATGAGCAGAACGTGGGACCCCATCCAGAGAAACAGTGACACCAGAGATGGAGTCAGAGATGAGGACATTGAGAGAGGGAGCAGCTGAGGACTCTAGACTCATGGAAAGAGAGGGGCTGAGAGCTGGAGGCTAGGAGGCAGGCTTGTAGAATGTGCCCTTTAGTTGTTTTAATAATTATATATCCTGAGTGTTTTTGTGTACATCAAAAACAAACAAATAAAAAACAGGGAATAGGGGGAAAAAAAAAAGTCTAGTTGCGGACCGCCCGCACCCAGTGCATGTTCCTCCCCCTCCTATGCAGCCCATCAAGATCTGCATCCTTGGCCCCCCCGCAGTGGGCAAGTCCAGCATCGCGGCGGAGCTGTGCAGGTACTACAAGCTGCACCACATTCAGCTGAAGGACGTCATTGCAGAGGCCATCACAAAGCTGGTAATACCCAGAGCGACTTCACTGGGAATTTGTACTGAAAGAAAACAATGTTTCTCTCTGTCTTATAATAAAGAAACAAGTCATTTCATATGCCAATTTCAGGTCATTTGGAAGGCATTGGATGGAAACACAGAACCCTCTCATCCCAAGGGCTTGTCCTTTTGGGAACAGAAGCAACTTTCAAGGGCAGCCATTGGAATTGAGCCTGTCTCCACCTGTTGTCCAAATAGTATTGTGTATTCTGGCTCTTTTTCGGTCCTGGTCATTTTTAGGATCTTTATTATTTTTTTTAATAGTGGTAAAGACATATATATATATATATAACCTTTACTATTTCAGCATTTTGTGTGTGTTTTTCATCGCATAACAGAAGCTCAGGACGGAAGGATGTTTTATTCTTTTTGTTTGTTTGTTTGTGGTCCTGAGCCCTGAGGCTCAGGGACGCATTCCCTCAAGGTGTTTTGTTATGGCTAAGAAGTTTTCTTCACTTGTCTCCTGTATGTCTACTCTATTCATGTCTCAGTTTGCGGCATAGCTACACACCTTTGTAGAAATACCCTCTGTCAAACCTTCACATACCGAGGGTAGAGCCCCACTCCCCTTCCCACACCTGTTCGGCATGTGTGTCTATGAACGCATTCCTAAGTACTGTTATCACTGCTATTGCAGGAGCAGGAGGGTAATAGGATTTGCCTGCTACCTTAACTCTCGCATTCCTACCAGTGTCTTCCTTTGCCTTATCGTTTGCTGACCTCCCTCTCATTGTATACTGCCTTCCTTTCACCCAGTGACATGCGTCTGCCTTCTGGCTAGTAATTTACCATCCCTTCCCCTCGTGCCCTGATAGTAGCTATCAAAGAATGTTTTTATTTTTACCGTAAAGGTTTTTATTGTGGGGGGAAGGGGGACACAGTGGACAGGGATCTACTCAACTTGGCAGCTGCTTTCCTCATGGCGGCCAGGACGTTGCTGAGCTCCTCTCACTCCCTCTTGGCATGGGTGTGTGTCCCCACCCTTTCTTGATGACCTTGAGTGCCCGCTTGTCCTTGAAGACCTGGAGCAGCTCCACGGCCCGGTACTTCTCCCTGATCATGTCCCACACACACTTGGTGTGCTTGGTGAGGCGCCCATGGTGGTGGCTGTGCCTCGGTTTGCTCAAGTTCTTGGTGACTTTGTGGCCCTTGTTGAGGCCAGCAGCCATAGGGTAGCACACAGCTATGCCTGCTGTGGCAGAAGGGAAGAATGTTCCTTTTTTTTTTAATGTTTTATTGTGAATTATGTGATAGTTTACATGGGAGAACATTAGTCTTACATTCATTCTATCCTATATCGTCTCATTGCCATGGTTAAAATCCCCTTCATGCAATCCTTCCCCCATGCCCCCCAGGTCTTCAGCACACAGTCGCTCTCCCTCTCTGGATCTAAAGTCTCCAGCTGCTCCATCGCTCCACGTCATCATCTCTG